TATCTATCTGCCTAAAGTATCCGTTAAAGGATCGACTATAGTAACCCACTTTTATCTCTTTTACAAAGTTTCTACGTTATAGCTTTCAAATGAAACATTTCTTGGAAAGAACAAATTAAAGATATACATGTAAACCAATGAATAGAAATTACAGATCTAATAAGTACATTACGTCATTAATCTGAATTCAACCCCTTTTCAAAGAAATTCAATTTTTTTTACCAGTACGTGTTTAAAATATTTCTAGACCCATAAATCCTTACATAACCCGCTGAATTTATGACTAAACGCTTATTCGATAGTTTCTCAGATTATCGGTAAGTTTTATATCATAAACAAGATTCATGATTAAAAAGAAACACGCACGCTAACTCTCGATTCCCGCCTACATTTTGGAACCAATTAATTCAATATGAATTGGAATTCGGCCATAAAATCTTTGTTTAATACAAGGAACAGTTCAATAGTAATTGATAAATCGTCATAATACCAGCGCTAAACAGTTAATTATCCTTAATTCCAGCTCTTGAAAAAAGGGGGGTAGACGATATTTTCCATTGAAATCGGGGTTTCAAGCATCACCGTATTTTGATATAGTCTTGGATATGATTATTGATTAATGTTCCTTTTATCTTTTCTTCTGTTTTAGGAAAATAAATCAAACATAAATATTTCAAAAAACTATAATGTTTCAGTTGTATATCGCTTTGAAATTTGTGGAAAATAAGCATTTTTATCGTTTTTTGTCAATAAACAAATGTCCCCTCCCCCCCCCCCCGTGTCACAAAAAACTTTGGTATGAATTTGTGATAAACCATTCCATATTACATGTAAAAAGGAATTTTTGTGACACGGGGGGGGGGGGGGGAGAGATGTTTTAAAAATATTTTCCTTTTTCCATTGATTTCTATAGTGAAAAACACAAGTTTTACCAAAATTTTAGAGTCATCTCTCTTTGTTTTTCCAAAAAAGTATTGTTTTATAAAAATCCATATAATTATCTATAAAAAATATAAAAAATCATCAATTGAAATATGTTAACTTTTGAAAATTGACTTGGAGGTAGGCAGGAAAACAATACTATCGTTTGCAGTTCTTTGGCCTGTTTATACAGAGAAATGAAAAATATTTAGACTTTAAATATTTTGTTGTCTGTTATGTTACATTCTTTTTTTTAGATGGTATAGTGTTGACGGGATGGGTTTTGGATGGCATTGGTTTGTTATTATTTTTCCTTACTTTATACATTTAATATTATGCATTTTCATAAAGCCTTTAAAATTTAAATTACAATAAATAAAGACAAACCTTTTATTTTACAGACGGACGAACGGGCATTATTATTCAAATTTTCGTTCCGTTTCCATGAAATCAATATATTTACAGACAAAATAAAATTCATATACAAAAATACAGTATTTTCATGAGCTCTTTGAACTTTTTTTTTATAGATGTTCACTGTTATGGTCAGTTTTCATTCATTCAATTATTTTTAATTTTTACCTTAGAATTTTCTACGACCAGGCAAAATTATTTGTTGATAATATACATTTATCTAACTTAAAAAATACAAATCAGCCGGTAGGGTAGGTTGGTACATTTTAGTCAAAATATTTATGGCCTTGTCACTCCATTTATATACAATATAGCCGAGAGGAAGATAAAATTTGTATAAATATAAAAAAACTACAGTCATTTAATTTTCTTTTCGGTTACTATTTAAAATGGCGTCGCAGTTGGTTAAAATCTTTGCTACTGGGGTTATCTTTTCTGTTGCCTTTGGTTGCAGCCCGGTTCCAAAAATAGACCAGGAGGAATTCTGCTCTGCAACATATGGTGTGTATCTGTGATATATTAGTTTGATATTAATTTCTTGAATTATATAATTCTTTTTTTTTTCTTTTTAAATTTTGCATTTAGTTTTGATAAATTGAAATTTTTATTTGATTCTCCTGATTGACTTTGTACAATTATGACAATTCGCTTGATGATGAAAATACCAGGTCTCATTTTGTTTTTAATTTACTAGTATTATTTTTGTGTGCGTGAGGGTAAGGGAGCGTGTGTGTGTGTGTGTTTTTTTTTGGGGGGGGGGGGTATTTTTTCATGTTTTTTTTAATTTTATTTATTTTTTTTTGTTTTGTTTAAGTACTTCTCAAATTTTTTCAATCATATGGAGAAGCCATAAATTGTCAGTATGGCGGAGAACTGCAAATTCCCAATTAAACTTGAGGGTTTGAAGAAAAAGAATTCATCATTGGATCAAGTGTTACCGCATAAGTAGAATTTTTAGCAAGGACTTAATTTTGGCATTAATAGCGAGGGTGCCAAGATTGCTAAAATTGAATATTGCTAAAAATTAATTGCGTTTTTGTTTCTATAGCTAGTTTAATGTACATTTTAAAATTGCTAAATATACATCTCGCTTAAAATAAAATTATAAGTTTTTAAGCACAAATCGCTAAATTTGCGTCTTGCTAAAATTTCCACTTGTACGGTATTTTCTATGCAACCTTGTGACCTTAATATCTGTATATGCTTGTCTTGCTTCAAGGTCAAATACTTGTATCCCCTCTGCAAAGTACTGATAATCGAGTTTTGACGAAAATTTCCTATATATATTTCATACATGCAAATCGTAACTTGGATAGATAGAATGTCAAGACCGTGACTCGATATTATAAGTATGTATATGTTTCATTTGTCAAGGTCATTGTCAGAACTAAATGAGAAAGGTCATCGAACTGTGTGAGAAAACAGAGATTATTGGAAAATGTGAGAGGGAAAGCCAAGATTATGGTAAGAACTGAATGAGAAAAACCAAGGTCGTCGCATGAAATGAGTGAAAAAGCCAAGGCCGTTGTAAGAACGGAATGGGGAAGCCAAGGTCATCGTAAAAAATAGTGTAAGTGTTTGGTTTTTTTATTCTTACCTCTTTCTTATTGATAGACATTACTTTTGGTATCACCTAAAAAAACCCTTAAATAATAGGAAACAAAACATACATCGATGTAATTATATAATAACCTGTTTCTGCCAAAAAATTGTGTTCTTAAAATTTATTTTACTTTCTTTATTACAGTATTTAAAGCCAGAGTAAAGTCAGCGGATCCATTTGTTGAATACTTCACTGAAACTACAATTACAATCGACATTCTAGAGGATTACAAGGCTAGTACAATACTGTGTATACCAGTATACAATTGACATCCTTGAAAAGTTCAAGTTGATAGAGTAAGCTATATATACAATTGACATTCTATAAAACTACAAGTTGGTACAATACGGTATACATACATTTGAAATCCTAGAGAATTACCGAGGATTGCAAGGTTGGTATAATGGGCTATTTATACAATTTACATCCTAGAGAATTACAAGATTTGTCCAATACACTATATATACAATAGAGATCCAAAAAGATAACAAGGTTTATACAAAATACTAAATTAAAATACAATCGACATCCTTGAGGATTATAAAGGTTTGTACAATACGCTATATTAAAATCGACATGCTATAAGATTTCAAAGTTTGTACTATATTCTAAATTAAAATACAATCTATATCCTAGAGGACTACTTGGTTGGTGTTAAACGCTAAATATGCAATGTACATCCTGAAAGATAACAAGGTTTAGACAATACGCTGTATACTACATTAAGTATACAATTGACATCCTAAAGAAATACAAGGTTTGTACTATAGATATATATACAATCCATATCCTAGACTATTACAAGGTAGGTAAAATACGCTTAATCAAAATACATTATCATAGAATATTACAAGGTTTGTGTGTTAACATCTTACAAAATAATTACCAACGGGAAGTATGTAAACGTCCTTCAATGAACATAATAGAGGATTTCAAGGAATGTTAACACGTACAATCCATAGTAGTAGAGGATTACAGGGTCATAAAATTTTACTTTCCAAGGAATTTATTAGTTATGTAAACGTCCTTCAATCCACACAACATAGGATTATAAGGTGTAAATATAAGTTGGTTAACATTACCTGAATAAATGCATATGATGATCACTTAAACAAAAGAGGGAGATCACTTGATCCTGATTTTCAATCAAACTTACTCTGCTCCAAAGTTTTGTTGATTCATTGTACCTTTAAGCTTGACAGCTGTTGTTATTATAATACGTCATCATGATAATTTTTTGTATGATCGTTTTCGGGAGAGAGGATATTTGACATGGATATTCGGGCGAGGTGATAAAGCTTTTCTCTCCCCTTTTCGTCAAAATTGATTGAAAATCTGTTTTGTAAATTTACGATAGACAATTCTCATTGATTATTCATTTTATATATACATATAATTTATACATTTGTATAACAGAATTTTTTTTAAAAATTAAATTCAATAAATAAGATATGTCACTATTTATGCTCTGTAGAAAACAAATAAAGCCAAGGGTTTTTTTGACACTGTGATCTCACCAACGAGTTCCTGTGGACCGATGATTCTAGAGGCCGGGGAGACTTACCTTATTTACGGTAATTACTTAAAAAACAATGACTTCTGTATAAAGTTAATAATTTATTACATTGTAGATAAAGGAGTATTACCTGATTTATGGTAATTATTTTTACAAAAGGACGACATCTGTATTAAGTTAGTTATTTAAAAGACAATGACAATGACAATGAATTTATTCTCATAAACTGAAATAAGTAGTGTTGAGAAAGATTACAAGTATACTTAAATATGTGCATGCGTGAAAAAGAAAAAAAAAGTACAAAGTAACAAAATTAACAATGAGCTAACCAGGAGAGCCAACTCTCTCAAAAATAATTTTTATAAATTTACACAGTTTTGTCAATTTAACTGTATTTTTTGTATTAAAAAGTTGATCAAACTTATACACATTTGGATGTGAATAGTAATATTTTGATAATAATAATAACCTTGAATTCAAAATAAGTGAATCATTACAATTAAATAAGTAATGAAATTCATCACCAATTTCATTTTTGGAACACAATTTACAAATTCGGTTTTCTCTTGGTACATTATGCCATCTTCCAACTTCTATTGGTAATTTATTATTACAAGTTCTGAACTTACAAAATATTTTCCAGTACTTAAAAGGCAGAGATACTAAATACTTTTCTAGACAAAATGAAGTTTTGTATATTCTATAATGAAGACCTTTAGACGAGTTAAACATTTCACTATACCACTTCTGTTTAAACTGATCATACAGAGTGTTAAACACTATTTTCTTCAGCCATGATACATTTACAGGTTGACAAGTATGCCAAATATAAGAAAGTCCACATTCATTCAATATAGATTTGACAAAGTTACACCATGGGTTATTGTAGTTCTTTAAAACACTTAACAAATTCGATGATAATTTATCTTTTTGTAAAAAAGATAGTTTACACCAAAAACTTATCATTCTAACCTTTATATTAATTGAAATAGGGTATCTACCTAATTCACCATATACCATAAAATTTGGTGTTGATGACTTTACTTGCAAAATATGCTTACAAAATTTTAAGTGCAATTTTTCAATCAATGGTGACTGATTAAAACCCCACACTTCACATCCATATAAAATTATTGGATTTACAATTTTGTCAAACATATCCAATGTGCATTCTACATTAAGATTGTGTTTTCTACATTTTCCAATAACACTATACATAGCTTTTGTTGCTTTCTGAGATAATTCTTTGACATTTGTGTTAAATGAACCATTTTTACAAAAACTTACTCCTAAATATTTAAAATTATCTACGATTTCTAATGTTATTCCATTTAATGTAATTGGTTTTTCAATTCTTGGATTGCCCTTTCCAAAGATTACAATTTTAGTTTTATTGGTGTTAACTTTGAGATGCCATTGTTTGCAATATTTGTTAAATACATCCAATTGGTATTGTAAGTCTTCTGGTGTTTCTGACAAAAGGATCGTGTCATCTGCGTATAGCAAAACAAACAATCGAAGATACAAATTAAACTCCGATTCTAATTTAGACGTTATAAATGATAAACCTTTTACATTATTTAAATTCATGAAATCTTCAAGGTCATTTAGATAGATGGCAAACAAAAATGGGGATAGGTTTTCCCCTTGTCTAACACCTACAGTACAAGGAAAGGGATCAGAGTACAGACCATTTGAGACTACTCTTGATTTAATATTTTTATACAGCTGTGTTATAACATTAAAACATTTACCATCTATATTATTTAATAAAACTTCATTCCAAAGACCTAAACGCCAGACAGAGTCGAACGCTTTCTCAAAATCAATAAAGGCACAGTACAACCTTTTCCTATGATACTTAGATATTTCAATCAATGTATACAAAGTAAAAATGTGGTCCAAAGTAGAATAGTTTTTTCTAAAACCAGCTTGATTTTCTAAAATAAGATGGACAGTATTTGCATAATAATTAAGTCTCTCATTCAGAATAGATGTAAACAATTTACCCAAACAGCTTATCAAAGTAATGGGTCTATGGTTTTTAGGATCTTTAGTGTCACCTTTGTTTTTATATAATGGAATAATATTTCCAAATGTCCACTGAGAAGGTATGATTCCTGAATCAAAAATCTTGTTAAATAATATTACATAAAAGTTTGACATAGTATCTACAGTAGATTTTATATATTCATTAACAATGTTGTCATGTCCACTTGACTTATCATTTTTCAGAGCATGTATACATTTTGTAATTTCTTCATGTGTGATTGGTTGATTTATGCTGTTATTAAGTTCTAAATTTGACAACAATTTTAGTTCATCTTCAGTCAAAACATTTTCGTTTTCCCCCTCTACTCCAATGTTGCAACAATCTTTATAAAAATCATATAGTTTGGATAATTCTACATTACAGCATTTATTGTTACCATCAGAGTTTAATATTTTCCAATAGTCTTTTGGGTTATATGATCTTAAATATTGTAATTTCCTTTTCATATCTGTCCTATGAAAATTTCGAGCAGATTTTAATTTTTGTTTAAACAGCTTTTCCTTTTCATACAAATCTTCTTTAAAAATATTACCTCCAAATCGTTTAAACAGTTGTTGTGCTTTTTTAAAATTCCGTCTAGCAGATTTACAGTCTCTTGTGAACCATGGCTTTTTAAAGACACATTTTTTATTCTCCTGTGAAAAAGTGGCTTTTTTATAAACACCAAAAACTTCCTTAGCACTTCGAACTAAAACTTCACCAGCTTTTACAACAATATTATCAATTAAATCTAAGGAAACTTCATTACAGTTTAAAAGTTCTTCTTCTAAACCTTTAATGCAACTAACTTTATTTTCAACACAGTTTTGATAAGTCAATTTTTCATTATTATTCCACCTTTTAGCCTTTTCTGATTGATCATTACAATTATATGGATTTAAACTCATTGATTCAGGATGTATTCTTATTTTTAGTTCTATTGGATTATGTACATCTGAGTACAATGAAGAAAAAGCTAAAACAGACATTTCTGAAACTTGTTTGATAAAGTTAATATTTGCAATGCAGTAGTCTACTATACTACAGTTTTTGCAAGTAAATTCACCGTTTATATCAGTGTTACAACGTTCATTTAGAATGTAAATATTACAGTTTTTACATAAAGTTAACAGTTTTTTTTACCAAATTGGTTCAATGTTTTGTCTTTTGACTTTCTATCAACAGATAAACCATAATTTTCAAGTCTTGTTACATCACATGTATCACTAAGAAAAATATTTTCATCTATAATTATGTCATTTGAAAATAAATGATCATTGTTATGAGAATTAATGTTTTCAATATAATCCTTCTCCATAGCAACCCTACTATTAAAATCACCCATAAGACAAATGCTATCTAAACTATCAATTAGATTATTAGTTTCTTTTTCTATATCATCAAAAATATCGGTGGATGAAAAACGAGAATTTATAGGTGGGATATAAACAGTACCAATAATTACATCATTTTGAAAATTAAATGCTTTCCCCGATAGTTTTATCCATAGAACATGTTCACATTCATTCTCTATAACGGTAACATATTTAGAATAAATATCTCTAACATACACTACAATCCCACCTGATTTTTTCGATGACAATGAAAATCTATGTTTACAAAAGGCATTAAAGTTTTTAATTTCAATATCGTCAGCATTGTCGGTTTTTGTTTCCGTTAAACAT